AGGACACTTACCTGAGCTAGAAGCAAGTGACGAAGGTGGTATTGATGTATCTGATGTGGGATTGGTATTTCGTTGAAGCGCGTTGACTCAGGGAACTGTGAACTCATTGTAATCATAATTTTTGATAATATAAGTGACGGGTCTTGGTCCTATTCTCATCTACCTTTGTCTCGTGTGTGGCAACTGTGTCCATTGAGTGTGAAGTCGATGTTTGATGTATGCACATCTGCGTGAGTTGGTCCCCAGGACCCATGCATTCCCTACAAGTTAGTATTCAGCCAGTTACAACCATGAACCCCAATGCCTAAACCCTAATCCCTAAATCCTAATCGCCAACCCCTAAACCTTAAACCCTACGCCCTAAACCCTAAAACCTAGACTCCCTTTACCTTAAGCATACGTGTCGAAATCGCAATCTCCAGAAACCCCTTACCCAAACCCATCTCTCTAAGCCATGGGTCCTAAACCCTAAACCACCAGTGGGATTGTTGCTCCGCACAATCGTGGCTTTTATCAGCCTGCTAATAGGATTCGAGCACATGATCTGTTTGCTAACAATTACATGTGGGTGGGATGTAACCTTTAGTGGCTCCTTGATCTTTGCATCATCATTTTTCATCCTATTCTCTTCTTCACATCTGTTCTCTTATCTGTGGTCTCTTGTCTTGTTTTGTTTGTTTGTTTGTTGTTTCGCCAGCATATGTGCTGGGGTTGTTTTCATTGCGTCTATGGCCGCTGTGGCCTCAAAGGGGCGGCTCTCTCCGCTCCTCGTTGGCCTTGGACTCACTTACTCTACGCAGGTGAGGTTGGCAACAAATCCAGATAGTTTTCACTTTTTGTTTGTCGCTAAAGTTCGACGGCAATTTGACCGAGACATTTGTCCATTACAAATCTTTAAGATGTGAACCAGGGTCGCATACCTGCCGACCGCCGACCGTATTGCAGCCGACCAGTAGGACCGACTGGTCGGCGGTCTGCCGACCAGTCAGAAAACAACCATCAACTGATTTTTTTTCAAATCTGATGCGCTTGCTGAGTACAGCCCAAATCCTCTGAGAAACTATAGGGGATGGGGGGGGGGTATGGGGGGGTTGGAGGGAGGGGATAGGGGGTATTGGGGGGGATAATGACGCTGTTGGGGGCAGTTTGGGGGTGTCGGGGGGGGGCATGGGGGTATTGGGGGCCGCTATGGGGGTGTTGGTGGGGTTATTAGGGGTTCTGGACACCAAAAAAAAAAAAAGGTGCCGACCAGCCGACCAGTGAAGGGCCGCCGACCGTCGGGGTATGCAACACTGATGTGAACACCAATATGCTCAAGGAAGAGGATAAGAAAGGAAACTGAAAGAAATGGAAGGGCATCTGTAGGTTCTCCCTTAAAATCCTCTTCCTCCTCTTCATCACCATCCTGGCATCCTCATCCTCAGCAGTGTGTCAATTGTCCATCATTATCTCCGTTGTCACCCTCATCATCATCCTCATCATCACCATCATTGTTGGTGTCCACCTCTTCCGCATCATCCTCCTGCACCTCCTCCTCCCCCTCTTCCTCCTCTTCCACCTGTTCCTCCTCTTCCTCCTCCTCCTCCTCCGCCTCTTCCTCCTCGTCCTCCTCTTCCTTCTCCTCTTCCTCCTCTTCCTTATCCTCTTCCTACTCTGACTTTTGAACTGTTTTGACTTTTTTTAACGAGGTATTTCTCGCATCGTCTATCTTGTCCATATTACACTGAAGAAGAGACCTCCCAACGCTTAGTCATGCTAAACAATGGGAGGATTGTCAAACCTAATGCTAATGGGTATGCCACACTCGTAACATCAAGTGGAGCTGCACGGGAGCACACCTTTTCATTTTTAGATAGAACAAGATTGTTGCTGCTTCTATTATAAAAGAGGAGGAATGAAAAGACGACACACCAAGTACACCTGACATCGTTCAGCGGGATATCTTATACCTCCGCGGTGCAGCTTCTAATTTTGTTACATCATGCCCTGCTTCTCCTCTGTCTCTTATACACATCTAGATGTGTATAAGAGACAGCACACACACACACACACACACACACACACACACACACACACACACACACACACACACACAGGGTCTCTCTCTCTCTCTCTCTCTCTCTCTCTCTCTCTCTCACACACACACACACACACACACACACACACACACACACACACATTCAAACACACCCATACACACTATGGACACTGTTAGTGAATTGGCTGATCAGAGTGGGTCCTCCATTGGAAATGGTGTCTACAGCTCTCAGGTCTGTTCCAGTGGACAGTGCGGCAGTGTACAGAAGTTGAGAACATGGTGAGTGCCAATTTTCTGCCTTCAAGTTCAACACCCCACCTTTTCCTGCCTAAGCTTCAAATGTGCATTTTACCCTTTCTGTTTTCTTCGCAGCCTTATATTTATGGAGCACACAAAGTAAGTGCAAGGAAAATGAGCAACAGCGAGACGACAGAATTCCAAATTGCAACATCACATTGAAAGCCAGATAGTTGAGAGCTGTCCAGCAAGCAGAAATGCACCGAAATCACACCAAAGGAGAACCAAAGCAGCGATGAAAAGAACTGAAGTGTCAATGAAAGCCCTCTCTCGCTACCCTCAACAATGTATCCAAAGCTTCTCTCGCCACCATCGACAATGTATCCAGAGCTCTTCCTCCCTATTGGCGCTCAGCGCCCAGACTACAATCACACAGCTCTTAAACTACGTAGCCTACACTAATGACAAAGCAACCAGATGACGTCAGCAGCAGCAACCGAAGTACATGCAGATGTCACCCATGCAGACCTCCGCGACGACCAGGTGCGTGCCGTCTTGCCCTCTCCATCACACACCCTCTTTTTGCTCACCCTCGTCTTCAACCCCCACGTGCATTGCCCAATCAAGGACCACCACCAACCCCGCTGACCTTCAGCACCTGCCTGGCTATGGAAGGCTGGGCTATGGCGCTGCTCCCGTGCAGCGCCGACCACCACGCAACGGTGTTCCCAAGGCACCTTCCCACATACGGCGCACAAACTAGCAGCACTGTCACTTGCTCGACAAGTGCCACAATCAATGTGTCGCGGCCAGGCTCTTTCCTGTATGGACTGTTGGCGAGCAATTGCGTATTACTGAGCCTTCTAGGCTCTTCCAGGCTTGACGTGGCTGGAGGCCTTTCGGCCTATCACAATGCGGAGAGCAACTCAGGCCACGTCTGGTAGTTGTCAGCCCTTAACCGTTTTTCGGTCCCACGCCACTGTCTGAATCGGGCCTGGGCACAGACACGTTGGCCCGACGGGAAGCTACTGGGCACACGGGCCTCCGAGTCCAGGCTGCCTTCGGGCCAGGCCGCTCAGGGCCCATGTAACCAACTGGCGCGTGATAACTGTCTGGCACCCAAGAGGGCCCCAAATTGGCAAAATTCAGGCTTCGATGAATTGTACAGGTCCGCCTTCGCTTAGGGCAGGCACAAGGCTTGCAGCAGGGCCCCATAGCGGCTTGCAGAAGGACGAGGGTGGACGAGGATCCTCGCATAAGGGTGGTGGGCCTTCTATTTATGGAGCACATAAACAATCAATCCAGTCACTTTCAAGTGTGATATCTTCTCTAATGAAGTATGAAGTATTATGAACTTCAGTTATTAGTTATTCAATTTAACAACTGATCCATGGTCCATCACAGAATCAGGCCATGTGCACTCCGCGACTTACGGGCCTTGCCCTGCTGAGTTGTAAAAGCTGTGCACCTCAGCCAAAAATAGAACTTTACAGTTTGCCCCTGCACCGGTTCAACAAACCACGGCACGATAGAGAGGTTTTGACAAAGCTCATAAAAATTGACAAATTGGTTTTCTTTGCTTCAAGAGCCTTTTGCTTTCCTTTGGAGAAATGATGTAAGGGACGCCGGGCCCGTGTCCCAGTTATATGATTAAAAAAAAACAAAAAAAAGGTCACATAATTGACTCCATCCTCGAGATCTAGACGTTTGCTTCTAAGAGGTTGACAAAAGTTCAAAATTGCCTCCAGAGTCCATACCCTCAAAACTGACGAAATTTTCTTCTAAGAAATTCACAGAATTGCCCTCTAAGAAATTGGCAAATTTCCTTCTAAGGAAGTCACAGAATTGGCAAAACTTCCCTCCTAAAAAATTGGCAAGATTTGAGAAATTACCCTCTCAGAAATTGAAAACATATTAACAAGTGAACATACCCCTCTACGCTCCACTTGTAGAGGGGTATGGGTGGGTCTGAAGGAAGGGAAGCCTTAAGGGTCCACACTCCAAGCTCTAGTTATGGTTGTGCAAGCCCCGGGGGGAGAAGAACAGGAGCAGAGAGGACGTTTGCTATTCATTTCTTTTTTTTTTTTAATTAAACAGGTCCTTATGGTCCCGGCTTCATATCCATTCTGGGGAGCGTCAGTCCGGTTCCTATTCCCCCGACAAGTCAGCAAAACAGTGTTACATCTTGTACACACTCACGCCCCCTTCCGTCCGGCCGACGGGTCCCTGAGGACGTTTGCTATTCTGATTGTTGTTCCCTGCACATTTTGTTTTGTTTCTCGACGCTGTACCCAATTTCCAGCAAAGTGTGGCTCCCCACTACAGTCTTCGCCCCAACGAAACGCACGTGCATTGTATATGAATACAGCGCACGGGGTGCATTGTATTCGTATACTACGCACGTGCGTAATGCTACGGATTTTAGGCACTAACTTCGGAAAAGCCCCCCCCCGAAAAAATCCAGTATATGTCGATACCTTTGCATGAATCGAGAAATGGTCGAAAGCGGGAAAAAAAAAAAAAAAAAAAAACACAGCCCGATACCAGGGCTCTCTCTCCACTACTCACCAAATATTAAAAACGGAAAAAAAATAAAAAAATCTTACCAGAAAATGGACACGTGCATCACCACATTTTTTTGTCTATTGTGCATGTGGAGAGCAGTGGAGCAAGGGCCCAACTGTACGTACCAATAGAAAAGTCGGCCACGCTACTTGCTGAGAGTTACATTTGAACAGTCATGCAGTCTTGGATCCCCATCTTGGCCCAGCGAGCGAGAGAGAGAGGGGGCACACTGCACAGCACTCTGAATATGAGTGTGGCACTGCAGACGGGCACGCGCACCACAGAGAGAGAGAGAGAGAGAGAGAGAGAGAGAGAGAGAGAGAGAGAGAGAGAGAGAGAGAGAGCAGGAGGAGCACTGCAGGGCACGTGTTTTTGAAAATGAGCACAACATTCTGTATGTTCTGTTTGAATAGAACACCCATGTGTTCGAATAGAACACATGTGTGTTCTATTCGAGCAGAACATACGTGCGTACTATTTGAATGTGCCTACTATTTGGATTTCAGGCGGCGACTTCAAGAAATCGACTTTTCCAGGGAAAGTTGAATAGCACATACGTGCGTTTTGTTCGGGGGAAGACTGTAGTAGACTCGAGCCGCTGAATGAACAAGGTCACAGAGTCTGACCTAATAGGGTAGGGGTAACTTCAGTAGGGTCACAAAAACGAGTTATAATTGCACTATGGGGCAAGATACAGTTTGCAATTGCACTTCGGGACCCTACCTGGCCAGAAAACTGGGTTGTATACATTGCCCAAACTGCAATTCGAAACTGTATCTTGGCCCATAGTGCAATTATAACTCATTTTTGTGACTCCCGCGTAGTTTTCCCAATAGGCTAATACTAAGGGGCTACCCCGTGGGTATCGGGCTGCTCTGAGACGTACAGAATCTCAATCGCAAAAAAAGACAAAGAAAAAGAAAGAAAAGTCGACGAAATAATCATCATGATTCATGACTGAATGTCGAATGATTGCTGCGGCCTGCCTGTAATTGCTGCTCATCAAGTTGCTTTGGATCCTCCTTCCAGTCAATGGAGCAAGCATCCTCCTTTAGGAATCTGGGCACCTGAGTATGAGGATCGTGCTCCATTAGGAAACCTCCATGCTTGTTCCAAATGCAGAACTATATTCCTTTCTGAAATTGGAAATCCTCCATCCTTGCAAAACCTTCCTGCCGAGCCAAGCCGAGCCTTCCTCCTCTTTTTTATTATTATTATTTTTTTTTTTTTTAGAAACAACTATGTGCTTCAAGAAATACAAGGAGGTGGTCCGAGGTGCTAGCACTGTAGTACATATATTGATTGAGCAATAAAGAGACAATTTTCGGACGAGTTGTGAAATTTCATGGTTATTCTATGTGCTTATGACTCTCCGTTCTCATGCGCCCGGTGTTTTGCCTGACAGTCTTGTCTGACTTATGACGCTCCCTAAACCACCACTCCATCCAAGCCTCTTTGCTCCGATGGGGGTTTCTGCTGCGCGCCCCAAAAACGCGTACTGGCACCGGCGCAAAATTGCAGGGTGATGCTAGAGTTCTCGGTGTTTTTTTGGTTTTTTTAAGCACTGATCTATTCAGGGGGAGCAGCACGTGCTGGGAACCGTGCGTGCGATTTTACTCCGGGTTAACCGCTGTGCCGGAGCACCATAGCTGGGAATCGTACTGGTGGCTTAAAGTTCCACAAAATTGAAAATTCCACATTTACGAGGCTGACAGTTTACTCGTGCAACGTAAATTTGCCGCTAGGAGATGAGAAGAATACCGTAGGATGATCTGGCATTTGCTTTTCGTCTGACTCCTTGCCTTTTCTTTTCAAAACTGCAGTTCACCAGTGTTGAGAGATGCTTGGAGTATAAGGACCTACGACAGGTAATCACCTCTCTCTCTCTCTCTCTCTCTCTCTCTCTCTCTCTCTCTCTCTCTCTCTCTCTCTCTCTCTCTCTCTC